AACTCTATGTGAGTATATCGAAGGTCAGAACTGAACCCTGATTTGAGCTCAGATCAATATAACCATGTGACTTCACCAGCTCCACCTAAGCGTAATAAAGTAGCCATTATATCACTGATTAATGCATTTCATGTTTAAGTAAAGATACAGATCTTTATTTAAATAAATGGCAGTCCAAGGAAATGAAAGTCAGTGTAAACCAAATGAATGCCTTGCTGTACAAAATGTAAAAACCCCAGCCATTTATCAGAGTGTAGCTTAATTATTCTGAGTGCAAGACAGTAAATCTGAAGGAATGAGAGACGTGCTAAGAAACCAGACATTAAAGCTGCAGAAGGAGAAGAGGCTGATGGATGGATTTAAGTCAAACATGTCACCTCAACTACGGCGCACAAGTTTAAAGTACAGCAAGCAATCTTTATCCTTAAGTGCTGATGAGAGCTGGACACTTCCAGTTGGATCCAAGAGAAAAGTACGCAAACAGTTCTCCAGTCCTTCTGCCACTGAAGAGAGCAGCATTTTCCCTTTTGAGACTCCTACTGCCTTGAACTAACTTTGCATCGTCTGTTTCATCTGTGCCTGCCATGGCGTCAGACTACAATGAATCTTCTCCTTCCAGAGCATCACAGTTTTCATTCTACACTCTGTCTTGGCTGTCCCTTAGCAAGATGACTGTATGAAGCGCAGGCTCTGACGTACAGCATGAGTTAAACCCCCAGGCTGTCTGCTCTTAGCAATGCAGGGTCTGAAGTACAGGGCAGTTCTAACTCCATTCCAGCAGAAGCCATGCAGGACATCTGCTCCATCTCTGGTCACACTTCTGTGCGTCCTGTGAAGGCAGCCGGGCAGGAACTGCTATTTAAATTTAGTTCTTGAATAAATAATTCCTATTTCCTAGTTTAGAAACCGGCATATATACAATCCATACATACAGATATAGATACAGTTGTTTAGAGTTGGTTGGTTATATACACATAGATACAGTTGGTCGTGTATAACAACCTGTCCTAAACTGGCACATATGTCATTGTAATTATTTTTATTAGAAAAAACTTTTGGCAAAGAATCTTCCTCATCCATTTGGGATGCACTATTCAATTTACATTCTTAGAAGAGGAAAAATACCCCCCAGAACCCTCCCAATTTGCTTTTCTGTGAATATTCAGTTTGGCTGAGTTTATATATTTAGAAAGTAGAAAACTAGTACAGCCAAGGAAAGTATAAAATGTTAAATAAATCCGAAGTGTTTGCATATTATGAAACATTTTTTAAGTTTTGGTCTTCCCAAGTGGAAGTGGAGATTGTGTATTATGGTGTGACATAATATGTGCGCTATTTTAAACTGTATTACGATTTAAAATATTTTACTACTAAAGGAGAAGCACTCAGATCTTAAACAAGCCAGGCTTAGAGTAAGAGCCAGCAGTAATAAAACTGTCTTCCAGCTGCTACTGTGCAACATACCAGCAGAGCCTTTCCTGTTGGCTGCTAGGGTTTATGTTACATTTAACCTTGAGCTGTTCTGGGAATGATGTGGGGCATGGTTGCACTTCCCTACTCCATCAGGGTCACACTAGTGTGATGATACACCATCAACATGGCACAGCAATGAAGACATCTACCAGGGCTCCTCCAGAAGGTACTGAGCATTTTGTTTGCACAGACAGCAGATCTGGCTCTTGAATTCTTTCTTCCTGCTTCCCTTAGCCATATACAACCTTTGAGAGTTTGATCTTAAGCGTTAGAAGAACTCCCAAGAAAAGGTCTTGCAGATTATGGTGACTTTTCATCCTGAAATGACAATTTCTTTGTTATTTCAATATCCTTCTCCTTCAATGCCCCAATTGTAAGTGCAACATCCTATCTATTTGACTTAAAGCAGGAAGCCTTAATGCTAGCAAATATGAGGTCCCTAAGGAAACAGATACCTCTAATGCGCAGAGGCCTGTTAGCCTTGGTATAACCACCACGGACTAGAAGGGAGAGAGGCAAGACAGAGAATCCTGTCAATTTGGTACATTTATTTAGCAGGTTCAAGCTCTGAAATAAGATATAGTTTGAAGATGTTTGAAAAGAATATGGTAGAAGGGTAGAAAAAAAATCTATACATCTTCCACACTAGATGTGTTGCTTTGCCTATCCATTTAAACCATGCGCTCTGCTTCGTCAGAGCTTCTCCACATAATCAAATTCCCTATCCTGGCTGTAGCCCATGATGCATACAAAATAAGATGGCGGGGAAGAAACTAGGATAGAAAGTCAGGAGGAAAAAGGAGAGAAAACAAGATGGAAAGAGGAAAAAAGGAGGAAATAAAAACAGATTGTGAGCTAACACTACATTCCCACAGACCCAAGCTAATGAAAAATAAGTTACAAACCACATGAAGACTGTGCTTTAAAATGCTTGGCTTATTTTCACTGCTTTTACTCCAGTGACATACTACTGGTTAGCATCCAGCAAAGAAGACACCCTCTGAACTTGAGAAAACCTTCATCCATACTGAAAAATATAGCTGCAGACCAACCAATGTTCTCCAGTGATTAGTAATGCTACTTACCAGAGTAAGGCAAAAAGTTGAAAAAAGGAAGTATCTAATCAGAACTGTAGGGGAAAAAATGTGTCTGTGTAGAAAACGTAATTTCCGAGTTGAAAAGTAACCAGGAAAGAGGCTTGGAACAGTGAGAAACAGTAAACAAATTCCTGTGAGATGAACTAACACCGTGCCCTGCAATGAAAAGTAATTGGAAAGTAAAGAAAACAAGGGATTTGATGCCAGAACATGACAAAAACCACCACAGAGTCTCAGATCCCAGCTAGCCCAGGCATTTCTGGTGCTAGGCACCTCTTGGAAGAACAGTTTGTCTCCTGTTCAACCCAGGAGAGTTCACAGGAATTTATAAATGATAGCTGCCTCTGCTGAAGGTGAACTAACAGGTATAAAAAACATTACAGCATTGGTGCTGCCCTTTCCAACCCCATAACTGCAAAAACTCACCATTACATCATTAGGATAGAGATCAAACCACTGAATCCAGTTCTACTTCTGTGGGAGTCAATGGTAAAACTCAAGATTTATTACAAAAGCACTTGTCTGAAAAGCTTTTCTGAACTTAGCCATTGTCTTATTTTGCAAATCACATTTTATTGCCTTTTTTTGGTGTGTGTGTGTGTTGATATTACCCTTCTATAGAAGAATCCCAACTCCATCAGGAACCTTCCTGTAAACCAGCGGATTGCCAACTTAGACATAAATTTCGTCTGAGATGAAATCATATGTGCTCATTGCCTCCATGCAGGAAAAGGTTGTATGTGCCTGAAACTTGTCCATCTTTCTTAATTGTACTAGCTGGTCTAATGATGCTTGTGGAAAGAAGTAATGTTTTATTTTGTATAGGTCTCTGGGGCATTGTTCTTACTAAGTTATGAATCCTAAAAATTAGTTACAAGGCCCACCCTATCGCAAAGACCCCCCATAGTGATCATCCGCAAGTAATTTCTGTGCCTCATCCAGAAATGTGATGCCAAAGGATGAGTGCATGGAAAACACTGACAAATCTGGAAGTGCCAGTGTGTCGTGGTTTAACCCCAGCCAGCAACCAAGCCCCACACAGCCGCTCCCTCACTCCCCCCCGGTGGGATGGGGGAGAGAATCAGAAGGGTAAAAGTGAGAAAACTCGTGGGTTGAGATAAAGACAGTTTAACAAGTAAAGCAAAAGCCGCGCACGCAAGCAAAGCAAAACAAGGAATTCATTCACTGCTTCTCACCAGCTGGCAGATGTTCAGCCATCTCCAGGAAAGCAGGGCTCCATCACGCGTAACGGTGACTTGGGAAGACAAACGCCATCACTCTGAACATCCTCCCCTTCCACCTTCTTCCCCCAGCTTTATATACTGAGCATGACGTCATATGGTATGGAATATCCCTGTGGTCAGTTGGGGTCAGCTGTCCCAGCTGTGTGCCCTCCCAGCTTCTTGTGCACCCCCAGGCTACTCACTGGTGGGGCGGTGTGAGAAGCAGAAAAGGCCTTGACTGTGTGTAAGCACTGCTCAGCAGTAACGAAAACATCCCTGAAATATCAACACTGTTTTCAGCACCAATCCAAAACACGTCCCCATACTAGCTACCGTGAAGAAAATTAACTCTATCCCAGCCAAAACCAGCACACAGCAGTAACCTGAGAAGTTACCTGAGAAGGAACCTGAGAAGGTTGCTGGCCTGTGAGGTCCTGTGTCAACATACAGGTAGCTAGTAAAGAATCTGTGCTTAGGGGAAATGCCAACAGAGCTGCAGCATCCCAAAAGCATTTAAGTGCCCAGTGTGTACCCCAGAACAGTGGTCCAGTGAGCGTGCTGCAGCAGATCTCTATCAATCTGCAAAAAAGAACAAGTCCAGATATACCCATGATTCATTCAAATGAGATGGTGATACTGACTCCTATAACCCATGATGTCCACAACCTTGTAAACAAGGCCATGGACTTTGGCCCCTAATAGGAACTTCATGTACTCACTAAACAAAAATAAATCTCTTCTCAGCACTCTTAGTGTTTGGTATAAGTTATTTGCATCACAGTAACGTGAGTAGCAATAACATTGAAAAATCAGCACTGCTTTTAACTGCTAACTCATTGCCCTTTCACAAAACAATAATTCCAGACCTTTTCTAAAGGAACATTTTCCCCAGAGTCCTCAAGGGAATCTTACATGGGGACATCTTATGTGATCTTAGGAAGCAAAGACTGTGAGTTGATTGAAGACTTCTGTAAAAAATTCATGTGAGATCTGGTTTCTGTAGGCAACTCTGGTCTTAGAACCTCATGATTACTGCCAGTGGAACTGCTTGGTGCAAGGTCATCATCTTTCCTTCTTTGCTGCATGTTTCCTCATGCATGGCTGTTTAAATTCTGTTTATTTGAACATGGGATCACTTCCATGAACCCAGTGTGGGGTAGTACATAGGTGTGCTAACAATGTGCTGCTGCTTTTCATTAGAAAAAGAAAGCCATGAGAAAGAGCAAGCTGAAGCTGCTTCAGACCACTGTATTTCTTTAACAAGGTTAGAGCATCCGTGTAGAGGGTTAAAGCAACTGCTAGTAGTTCCAAGCTGTCATGTCAGTGAGTAGACCTGGTACAACAGCAAAATATTTTCTTTCTTCCCATCCTAAATCTGAAGGAGGTAGCTGACAGTTGAAGTGGTTGCTGCTTTATTGAATGTGGCCTGACTGCCACACTTCCCTTTCCACCTTGCACCAAGGACAGCCAAAAATATGTGTAGCTCCTCATGAACTCTGGTGGTTTGCGGCTCTGCATCTAACAAATCTGGCACCAATTTCAGTGTGTCTTAATATGCAAAGCTGCAGACTGTGGTAGCTCAGAAGCAGCTTCAGCCTGCTATGAGGCTCCAGTCTTCGGAAAAGAAATGGGCAGATAGGTGGCTGGATGTAGCAACTACTTGGCCTGTCCTTTTTAAATCACTGGTGAGCCTTGGTCCTGAGTGTTCCTCACTGAACTCTACAAATGTCTTCACACAGTTAATCCCAAGGAGCCTGCAGCCCATGGCAAAGCCTGAGCTTTGGAATCTCTCT